TCCGCTGTTTGGGGTAGCTGCAATATGCAACACGCATACGTCATGTTGCCTGCTGCACTCTACTCCATCAAGTCTGGAAGCCAGAGCACTGCCTGTCAGGCGGTATTCCTGGCCAGGCTTAGGCAAAGCCAGGCATGCAGCATTACATGACTCGAATTGGGTTCGCAATTGGGCGTGTGTGGGTGGCGCCAAAAGAGGCATAGGCGACGAAGGCATCAAAATGCAAAGCAAACAAAGGCCCAGGCGGAGACGTGTCTTTGTGTTCTTCTTTCTGCTTGTTGTAGTTTTTCACACTAATGCAATTTGATGCGGCACAAAACCGCACAAATGCATGCACCCATATCCTCGCACACATGCAGCACTTTAGTCGCTGAGCCAACAAAAGCCTTGGCTGCCTTGGCGCTTGCGTTGGCGGTTTGTAAATCCTTAACAGAATGGGATTTTCAACACATTTGCTGGTGCGCGCGCGTTTGTTGCATAGTTTTAGGCGTTGCCTGCGCCACGCTAAGCCGGGCATTTGCCAAGGCGGCAACGGCGTCGCCCAACTACATATCGGTCGGCATCACAAATGCATGGCGCACAAAAGCATGCTATTATTTTGCTCGCTCTTCGCCTGCCTCTTATCATTATTATCTGGGTGCTTCCGTTCGATAGCCAGCATCAGCATCAGCACCGGCACAAACACCAACACCAATACCAATACCAATACCAGCATCAACACAACATCCAACACCCTGCACTGAATTTATGCAAATGCTGCATTTTGCTTTTCAATTTTGTTCGCCTTACAATTCCTTTTCACTGTACCGACCCGGCAACAAGTTGCGCTCGGTAACTTCTTGCCGTGTTTTCCCAGCGCATTAAGCTAGAGCGCACGGTTGTGGGGATTTGTGAGAAATATGGGTGCCATTCTTTGCATAAAGTGCCGCTTCTCACTCTCTCACACTTTTTTACTCTTCATCCGCTTATTTACTTTCACTTCTTTCTTTCACTTAACTCTTCATGCCAAATCTGCACAATTCAGTTTACAATTCTAGAGTTACATTTGTCCGTTGTTGCCGTTGCTGGTGCTGCTGCAACTGTTGCTGTTGCTTCTGCTTCTGCTGCTGCTGCTGCTGCTAAGTGTCACAAATCTCAACGATTTTAGCTTTTTAATGCGCCTTGCCCTGGGGCTTCGATTGATGCTCTACGTCGAAGCCCTTGAGTTCCTTTTGCCAGTGCCGAGCATGAGCTGGATTTATGGTATTGACTATGTAAATCTGTGGCTTTTAGCTTAAATACATATATGTGCATTTTGCAGGTAACTTTTATTGCACTTATTTCGCTCATATTTAAATAAAAAGTACGTTAGGTAACAGATTTTGTAGACTTTACTTCTTAAGGACCACATATTTTTTTAGTTAATTCCTCAAGTTATAAAACTTATATATATTTTAATTTTTTTTTTATTCTTTTACCTTAAAATTCTTTTGTTAAATTTTAATATGCTGTAAGGATCGGGGTTTCAAAGTAACAAGAGCTCTGGCTTAAGGTAGCTTAATTTATATATTTACAGTTATTAGGTGGTCTAATATTATTTAGTTTGTATTAGACTAAAATAAAATAAAACCAGTAACTCGACTGGGTGTAACCTTCTTGTTGTTTATCTCTTAACCAAACTCTGTGCGGAAATGCGTTCTTGAATAACTTTCATGTTTATTGTCCAATCTTTTTAAAAAGTGCTAGCTATAAATATGCCTTCCAAACCTGTATAAATACCAGCTTTTATAGTTCCAAACTTATTTAATAAGTATTAATAAATTCAATATTTGTGATATTTTCAAAGACTTGGAAGAAAAATTAAAGTTTTCATTAGCATCATTCACAATTGAGTTGAGTTAAGCGCTCTTTAGTAACTGAGTAAGCTGTAGCTGCAGCCCACGCCCTGTGGCCAGGCAATCCACCTGTTCATTAACCTGTGCGGCATTGTGTACAATATCAGTGCCAGTGGCGAAGCGTTGAGACCGCCTTCACCCCGCAAACTCACGGCTCACCCCACACCCAATTGCCAATTTACGTGTGCAAAAATGTTCGCTTCATTTGGTGCGCGGCTGCCACAGCTGTTGTTAATGTTGTTGGGGGCTATTGCTGTTGTTGTAGTTAATGTTGGCATTGCCCTAAAGCTGTGCGGTGCGCATAGTCAGCCGAGCGGAAAATGCAACGGCAAATGCCATGAACTTGTTGCAATGACAACACCGTGACAGGCCGCTACTTAGCTTTGGGCTATATGCTGCATGCTGTATGCTGCATGTCGCATGTTGCATGCTGAATGCAGCATGATGCATGCAAGTTAACAGCACATTAATCATGGTATGGATCGCATTTGGGATGCGATGGGCCCGACAGAGGCCCCAAAGCAAATTGCAGCACAAGCTGAGTCCGTTGCTCAGTGTTGCACGCGTTTCGCTCATATTGACTGGCATTTATTACGCTGCTTAAATGCCAAACGTAGCAGCCACAAAAGCTGGACAAATTAACGCGTGGGTGGCCCGCCCGGCCTGGCTCTGGCTCTGGCTCTGGATCGGTCCGGGTCATGCATCAATGTCATTGCCGTTGCTCGCTGTTCAACAGTTGAACTGCAAATGTACTTGCAGCAATCGTACTTCTCCATGTATTCATATGGTTGCCACATGTGTGCCAGTTGTTGTTGTTGCACGGTCTCATTGCTGCTGCTGTGTCGCGTGTCACCATAAAAGTACACACACATTGTTGGAAAGTCAAGCAACGTCAATTTCCGTTTGTTGTCGTCATTAAAATGCAAGCGGTCATGCCTGGCCGCACTTTGCCACTCACAATTCACGATAGGATGATGATGTTCATGATGATAATGATGATGACGATGAAACTGCTGCCACTTTTAGTCGCTTAAGTTGCAGAATTCTATTAATTAGTTGTGCCGCGCAGCGCGTGTAAGCGACACTTTTGTAGCACTTAAAGCAATTTGCGCTCACAGTTTGAAATGTCTGCGTAAACAAACTGACAGCCAGCTGACAGACAGTCAGTCAGCCAGCCAAGAACTGCGTTGAGCGACTAAGTGATGAGGAGATGTCGCCGTGTAATCGATACTCTTTGATGAGGGCCTCTTTGTTGCGCTGTCAAAATAGAGCAGAGACCACCTTGGCGGTAATGTGATTAGAAATTTTGTTTTTCAAAATCCAATCCATAATTACTCACAAATAGCTTAGAAGAACAGGTGAAGCATTGAAATGAAAACTGAAACCAAAATCAAGGCCGGAAATTGAAATGTTGTAATTGCTGGAATGCAATGCGACTGCTGCTTCTCGTTCGTATCTTCTCCTTTGTGGCACGCGGCAAAGTCGCCGTTCGGATGGTCGTCGTTGTTGTTGCCAGTGGTAAAGCAAAGTTTTGACAGCATTTGCCACTTTGTCATGCAATTTTAATTTCAACATTCGCGTTGCGTTGCGTTGCGTTGCGTCGCGTTGCATTTTTACTTTGTAGTTGGTCTCAAAAGCGCTGCTCGTATTCTGACAAAGTCGAAAAGTTTTTATTGGTGGAAAAGAGAGAAAGATGGAGGGTTGCTGCAGTTATGATTTACTTGCCGCACGCTGCCCCGAAAACGAAACGCAGCGCAACGAAATGAAGCCATCAAAAGCGTTGACGTCGTTACGCAAAAGCGGAAATGACAATGATGATGACGCTGACGCTGACGACGATGATGATAATGTTGATGATGATGCCAAATAAAACGTTGGGCAAAAGTGCAGGCAATGGATGTGCACGCAATGGGAATGCGGCTGTGATTTGTGCTGCCTCGATGCTGCCGGGCAGGACCTTGCCGCTGACGCTGCTCCTGTTGTTGCTGCTGCTATTAAAACGCGTGAAATTGAAAAGGCGAAAAATTGCAATGCCAACAAAATTGGCAAACTGTTGGACAAGTCGTATTCATTGTGGCAGTCACAAGGGAAAGAGAAAGTGTGTGATGGCTAAAGCCTGAGCCAGAGACAGGGGCAGCAGCGACTGGAAACAGTTGATGTGGGGCAGCGTGCTAAAAGCTGTCAGCTATTTGATGGCCGTGTTTGCCGCGCGCAGTTTCCTGGCCAGCTGCTTGGCCCGAACAACGCAAATGCCATGTGGAGCAATAGCTATCGTAAAAGTCGCCTTATATATGTATATATAAGTATTTAAGAGTTTCTGCCTTTAATCCAGAGTTTAGCTGAAAAAATATTAATGTCTATACTAAATGTACCTTATATTGTTATTTAATTGGGGATTTACAATTAATAGAAAAGAACAAGTGATTTTTTGAGTTACTTTCCAATTATTGATAGCCGTTTGAATCAGGACTGCATACCAAAACTAACCGGTTCATGGTGAAAACCAGCTATTGGTTCAGGTCCTAAATTTCCCTAAAGAAAATATAGTTTGGATCGTGTTTGGTTACGGTTAAGTTAAGGGTTCGGTTCATGTCAAAATTGAATGTGAATATTGAGTGCGAATTGGTTCGGGTCTAAAACCTTTTGAGACCTTTGATTTGATCGAAAGGTTTGATATTTGATAAATTAAACGTACAGAAATCATTGCTCGCGTCAATCCGGTAGATTCTTTCGATAGGGTTAAATGCTGATCCATAAGATTTCGTATCATCTTCAATTTATTTTAGATTACGAGAATCGATTATAAAAACCTCAGGAAATATTAAAGGTCAGTAGTCACAGACGGATAGCCTGTGTTTCGGAGTACATTACTGTTACCAGGCTTACATTGATTTTCGTATCGCAAGATCTTTTCTCTTTTTTGAAAAGAAAGTTCAGTCAAAAATGAATATAAGTTATTATAAATTCTAGGCCTTGAAAAAAATAGAAAACGTTTCGCGCGAATTCCGATGCAACGTAGAGCTTTCCAGCTCCCGCCCAATTGATCTAATCTACTTAATTTTACACTCCATTTACTCAACCAATTAACTAACATGTCTTTCTCTTGTTTATCATTTCTATTCACAGGTAGCGACCATGATGTCCTGCGCCCTACCTATGCCATTACCGATACCGATACCTTCAATACATAAAACTGAATTCACACCGGTTCACATTGGAGTCAAGGTGAGTTCTACTAAGCTCTTTAAATAATCCTAATGATGCTACGAGCGCAAAGCGCAAATCGGGACACTCGTTGCCCCATTATGAAATAGTAAATTAAGCGTATAAATGCGAATATCATGCAAATCGCGACCTCCGTGGCCAAAAAGTCAACAAGTGGGGCAAAATGTTATATGTAAATGTTGCCGCTAAACTGGCACACAAGCCCAAGCGCCAACGCCAAACACCACCCGTACCACAAGCACCACAGACAGGATATGACAGCATGTCGAGTGGGGTTGCTTCATTGTTGACATTATTGCAAGCACACTCACACACACTCAGGCATATATATATATATTTATATATACATCTATATGTATATGTATATAAATATTCACCCAGATAGACAACGGGCACTGAATATAATGTGCGCTACTAAATCAAATTGTTGCTTGCCAAGATGGTGACGGGTGACGTTCCTCATCCGCATTCACACACACACACACACAAACACACACATCCTCATTTGACTACAACTTTAATGCGCAGTGATCACATTTTAATGATACCAAAATGCAGTGCCCGCATATTCTCGTTGTTGTTGTCGCTAAGGAATAATGATGTCAAACCTGTGCTAAAGGCAGACTGGGGCTAGGGGTTAACATTGTTGTGGACGCGTCATGTTTGATAAATGCTGCAGCATATTTCTTGATTTTGTTTGTCCTTTCGTTTAAATGCCACACATAAATCTATTTTTGAATGAAAGCCACTGCGTGGCGAAACGTGGCGTATGCGCTATATATATAAATGTACATGCATACAATATTTTTGGCAGTTTTTCCTCTTTTTTATTGTCGTTGCTCTGTCTGTTTTGCTTTTATCTGAAGGAAACGGCGCTTATTGTTTGCATAATGGACGCTCGTTAGCGCTGTGTGCTTGTGTGTGTGTGTGCGTGTATGTATATATATATATATATATATATATATATATATATATATATATGTGCGGTTGTAAGCACTCGTGCCGATCCTTAAAAGCAACATTTTTGTAATCTCGCAGACAACGCTGAAACCAATATATATATGCGTTTTTAATTTGTTGTACTTAAAAACTTATTTTTCATCTCGCCTAGAAGGCTCGTCAGCCGCTGCTACTTAAAGCTTTGTCCGTTTTGGCCAGTGTAGCGCTTAATAAATGAATTTCTAGTATTCTCCCATTTCGTTTGACCAGAAATGCATGAACAGCGCTTCATTCTTATCCTTGGGGCACGGCAGCTGTGTCGTTGATGCCACAAAGGCAGTACGACATTTTGCTTTCATGGTAAATGAAATTTTTGCCGAAAACCAAACGAAAGCATGCCAACAAAATCACAACGGCGTCCGACAGTTCAGATGAAAGATAAATGCTGCTCGTGTGTGTGTGTGTGTGTGTATTGTTTTCAGGTCCAGCGCTTGTTTGTGTTCTGTGCAATTTTGTAGTTTTCCTCATAAAGGACAAATTATGCTTAAATGCATTCACTCAATTTATACGTTTTAATTATTTCCTAGGATTCATTGAATGCAACATGTGTTGCCAGTAGTAACAAGCAAACAACAAATATAATTTTAAATGCTGTTCCGAGTGCCAAATTACTGTAATAGCCAATAATGTACATCCTTGAATGTGGACAGAAATAAATCTTGTTTTAATAACACCTGTGCCCGAAAAAGTAGACAATCCGTTTTTAAAGATTGTCGAAAGTATAAAATGACAAAAAAAAAAACGTATTTAGCTACATAAATCGTATTTGTATATATCGAAGGCCTGGGTTCGAGAATCTGAATTAATATTGGCGACAATTGAACGAGTATAGGGTATAAAAATATTTAAGAATTCCTAATGCGTATATAATTCAATTAAAGCATAATTATTACAGTGCACTTTGATGGTTGTAAATGGGTAATATAATGTGCGTGAATAGTCAAGCATTTGCATTCGCAAACATCCATCAGTATGCGATTTCAAATAAGTTCAAATACCCATAATTCTATGCGAGTTTTCTTTTATGCCTGCTCGCATACAATGAAACCGCTTAAACCGAGACGAATGGCTAATTATCAGGCAAAATTAACTGGTTGATGGGCCTGCTCGGATCTGCCACGACTAATTAAGGCAAATCACAGCACACAGCGTAGTCCTGGCCGGTTACGGCGCCTGTCTGACGCTTGGTGATAACAGGCCAGTTGCCAGTTCATAAAAAAAAAACGTAGGCAAAAATTATTTAATAAAACGTCAGACAACAACAACAGCCAGAGCTGCTTAAGCGGGGTCAAATTTAACGAGCAACCAGCTGCGGCTGTTAAACCCAATTTCCCGCCCCGAGGAACCGACGCGAACTTACACTTGACCGCGCGGCATAAATCATCAAGAAGGGAATTGGACTTGGCGGTTAGGGTAGTTGGGTGTTTGGGTGGTGCAAGCGATTTTGCCAGTGGCATCTACTTGCCTCATAAAAAAAAATGATGGTAAAGGTGTGTTGGCTAAATTATATTTAATAACAAAAATAAGACAATGCGAAGAACGCATTTTTTATGAACATTTCAGTGCTCGGGGGAAGTTGGGGTAGTTATAGAAAAAGCGTTTCTCAAGCTACTTTTTTGTTTTAAATCGGATGCTTTGGAAAGGGCTTTTTATGAAATTCACTGTGAGGAATCGTTAAATTCAATTTATTTCTTAGTGTAAAGTCTCATTGGAGAGAAGCGTTTTCGGTAAACGACGTGCTAAGAAGACCAAGTACTTTAAACGTAGAAGAGGTAACGGGCTCAAAGCCCTAGCTGAATATATACCATATATGTATATATAATAGCGTGTAAACCACGTCCTCTCCCCTGATACTCATAAAATAAATTCTCTTAAAAATCTTTGAAAAGGCGCTTGACTTTCATACAATAGTTATTCGCCAATTTACTCTGTTGCGGGTAAAATTTTCAAGTTTAAAACAAACTGTAGAAAACTTTAAACTTCGCCCAAAATTACGTTGAATCGCATTTTTCAAACACGTCTCATATGATACATACTATAGATAGATCAAATAGTTCCTTGGAAATGAATTTGAGTGCGAGACGTCACCCACCAAATATTTAATACTCATTTTCACCAAGCAGAAATGCACTTTTCGAAAATTGTGAAACATCCCTCAAATGAATTTTAAAAAAGATCACGAACACTTGTGGGTGGAATTTCACAAAACCCCGTCATAACGTGCATCTTCATCACATGATGTAAATACAGTGAAAATTTCAGCTTAATAGCTCTTGCGGATTGGATTGGGCTGCGCGTTCATTACCAGTCAATCAATCAGTCAGGACAAACATTTTTATGTATAGACATTCCATATATCTTAACCAAGTTTAAGTATTAAGTGAATTTTTATTATTTATTTTTATGCTCCGAAAATTATGCTTTGTATTTTTCTGTGCTCGCATCGATAGCGACATCGATCAATAGCTTAACGTGGCAACTTCAGCGCAAATGCAAATGTGATAAGTCTTAACGGAAATGAAACCGATCAGCTTTTTGCATCTCTAAGTTGGCTTTCATTAGATATTGCAATACAATTTGGTATCATGATACACCTACTTTGACTTCTGAAATTTTAAATCCGACAAGCCGTCAGTGAGCTTTTGTTGTTTGAGAACTTCCGCTTGATTGTCTTTTTTTTTACTTCTGCTGCCACTCGGGCAGCAGGTGATTGTACCTGTATTACATGCCCCGTCAGCATTGCAACGACTGTCCAGGGCATAAACCTTAACTTCAACTGTAGAGCGCTTTGACCGGCCAATGCTTCCGGGTTACGCAGCGCAGCGAAGTGCCGTTGGCAGCCTCAGCTGCTCCTTTGCCTTATCCTTTGTCTTCTTGGTTCATTCGCGTACATTTATTTTTCTTATGCTTGTTATTAATAATTTAAGTTGCGCTCTACTTTGGTATTAAGACGATGAGGCAAGAATGACGACGACGATGCCGATGAGGACTACGCCGTAGCATTGTTTGCCCTGCCAGTGTTTGTCTCTCTCTGAACGTCTGTCCATCTGTCCATCTGTCTGTCTGGCACTGCGCTGCGTTGTTTATACTTACAAAGGATTGCGTTTCAGTTACATTTGGGGGTGTTGCGTTAAGCGCTCATTTCCAGTTACCTTCAGCTGCTGCTGCTGTTATTGTTGCTGCTGCTTCCACTCCTGCTGCTTCAACCTGGCTGTACTTTGTTTTATTTTTTATTTCCACTCAAATTGTTTTATTTGCAGCAGAGCATCTCGCACAGAGACCCAGACGCCTGGCTTTATTACGGCGATTTTTCTTGAACGCATTTTTCGTGTGTTGTCGTTTTTCTTAGCTGTCTCGTACCTTTTGTAATTTTTATGATTTTATTTCTCCTCACCTCATGCGTTGCCCCCCATCAAGCGGCGAATGCGACTGCGGCTGCTTTGTTTGCTTTTTTGTTTTTATTATTGTAATTCATATAAAAAGCAAAGCGTAATAGTTGCTATTCACCCCGGCTCTGTGTTGTGTGTGCGAGCGCGCCATAATAAAAACCTTTTCCAGAAATTAAAAAAGAAAGGAGATGCGAACCAAATTACCCAAAATCCGTGCCATACACAATTCACAGTTTCAGCAACCAAAAAAAAAGACGCCATTGCGTATGCGCCACGTAATCTGCAAGAAAAACACAAACACACAAAAAGAATGGTTGTACTTGGTCGCAATTGGATTTGATTTTTGCCTTGTGGCTTTTGTTGTTTTCCCAGCCTTGGCAAGCGTTAAAAATTATAGTTATTTAGTATGATTGTTTTGGGGTAATGCCGTTCCAAGAAGTTGTGGCACATTAGACATGCACACGCCATCCTTTAAAATGGGAATTCTTGCTTTCTCTTCGCGTCGCCATTTTGGGGCGGCCCATTACACAACAGTAAATGTAACGGTAACAACAAAGGGCTAACGGCTAATTATTCCCCCGTTAACGGGCGCAAGCACACAAAACAATCGTT